GCTTCTTTGTGAATTTTTGAGCAGTTTTTTAATTGAATGTTGAACATTTTACATTGTTTAAATTAAATATTTTATAAAGATTGAATTGTAATAAATAGTTTTTAAGTAAGAGGTTCTGACTGAAATTTTCTAAAAGGCTGACGAGTGACATACCTTAATTACTGATTCTGACCTTTTGGTCAAAGGCCAAGGTCATCCAAGTTCAAGGTCAAAGGTCAAGGTCGAAGTTCAAGGTCAAGGTCATTTAGTTGATTGTTACATTTTTACATACATATAAGGAATTTCTTATGGTTTTAAATGACCTTGACCTTTGACCTTGACCTACATTTCAAGGTCAAAGGTCAAACATGCCCATGCAGTTGGTCCCATGTCTCTAGGATAGACCCTTTGAAAAAAAGCTCATTAAATGTAAGCAGCGAAAACTTTCAGGGACATTAACTCATACAAGGGGCCGAAGTATCCTTTCGCACTACATAGATTGAAGAGTGTACTAAATGAGTCGAAGACACTGATGAAGGTTTGGAATCTCTACGGTTTACGGTTTCGGAGGAGTAGCGATAACAAGGTTTTATTGCGAAAGGGGTGACAACTTTTGAATGGGTCAAGCTTGGGGGACAAGAATGAAATCCTTAAAATAGTTTTAGAAGGACATATTATAGATGCAAAGGTATTCAGTATATGTCGAAAGACAAAAGAGATATTTAAAAAGCTAATTTTCTCATATTTTGAATGACCTTGACCTTTGACCTCTATATAAATTTCAAGGTCAAATGTCAAAGAATTTAATGCAGTTGGTCCCATGTCTTTACGACTTGTCGTTTTGAAAAATATTTCATTATTCGTAAACATCGAAAACTCTCAGGGGCGATAACTTAATAAAGGGCTCGACAAATCATTTCGCAATGAAAGATTGAAAAGTCCTCTCAAGTAGTCGAAAACATTGGTAACGGTTTCGTACCTCTGGGGTTTATGGTTTCGAAGGAGTAGCGATAACAAGGTTTTTCGTTCAAAGGGCAAGAACTCCGAAAGGGGTCGTAGGTCATACTCGTTGGGTAGTTTTTCGAAATAACTTTTGATGTCGAGTATCATGAACTATAAAGTTCTTCGAAAAGTCTTTCGGTTCAAAAGGCGGTAACGGAAAAATAATAATAATAATAATAAACATAAGCATTTCAATAGGTCTTTCCACAGAAAGGTGGAAAGACCTAACTAGTAGACTAATTGTTCTCGAACAATTAGAGGTCTTTCCACCTTCTTTAAATTTCATATATTCTTCACATTTAACTCTCTACTTCTTATTTTTATATAAAAGAAACCAGAAATGGCTTGAGAGATGGAAAAAATGAAAATTTTAAAAATTTTGAAATGACCTTGACCTTTGACCTTGAACAAATATTCAAGGTCAAAGGTCAAGGGTCACATTGCAATTAACCCCATGCGTCTACGACTTTAAGTTTTAAAGTTATAAGGTTTACTAGTAAGCGCAAAGACGTTAAAGGGTGATAACTCATATAAGGGGTCACCGGATACTTTCACACTGAATAGATTGAAGTTGTGTCTAAAGACCCTGAGTACATTAGTGAAGGTTTCGTGTTTTATCAGTTTACGGTTTCAGAGGAGTAGCGATAACAAGGTTTTTCGCACAAGGGGCAATAACTTTTAAAAGGGTTAAGCTTAGGGGACAAGATTGAAATCTTTGAAATAGTTTTAAAAGTACATATAAAAGATGCAAAGATATACTGTATATGTTGAAAGACAAAAGAGCTATTAAAAGAGCTTTATTTCTCATATTTGGAATGACCTTGACCTTTGACCTTGACATGATCTTCAAGGTCTACGGTTAAAGAATCTAATGCAGGTAGTTTCATGTCTCTACGGCTTATCGTTTTGAAATTTTTTCACTATTTGTAAACTTCAAAAACTTTCAGGGGCAATAACTCATAAAAGGGCTCAACAAATCCTTTCGTAATGAATAGATTGAAGAGTCTTCTCAATTAGTCGAAGACATTGGTGAAGGTTTCGTAACTCTATGGTTTACGGTTTCGGAGGAGTAGCGATAACAAGGTTTCTAGTGAAAGGGGCAGTAACTGCGAAAGGGGTCATAGGTTATATGCGTTGGGTCAAATTTGTTCATAAATTTTTATGACCGTTATCATGAACAAAAAATCTTTTCGATAAATGTCGAAACAAAAAATCAGCGGAAGAAAAATAATAATAAGAAGAAGAAGAATAATAATAATAATAAACAGAAGAAAATCAATAGGTCTTTCCACAGAAAGGTGGAAAGACCTAATAAACAGAAGCATTTCAAGAGGTCTTTCCACAGAAAGGTGGAAAGACCTAATAACTAGGAGACCAATTGTTCAGAGAACAATTAGAGGCCTTTCCACCTTTTTAAGTGTTTCCGTGTCATTTGGGTTGAGAAAAAGTAGAAAAATGCAAAAAATGAAAAAAAAAAAAAAAAAAAAAAAAAAAAAAAAATTGCTCCTCCAGCAGGGTTCGAACCCAAAACCTTTGGATTGAAAGGCAGGTGCGCTAACCATTCGGCCACGCATTCTGATATCCTTCGTAAGTTAATTGTTTAAGACTACAGAAGAAATGCAAGCGTATTTTTAGAATCGGTAGGGAAGAAAGAAGTTCCGTAAAAGGAAATAGTTCCTGAATTTGCAAGCAGTATATAATATAATAAGGGACGGGCTGCGTGAGAAAACGTTAATACTGTTCCCTAAGGAAAAAGTATTAATGGACTGTAGCCCGATTCATCGATATTGTGCGCATGTTGAATTTTTTGTTAATAGCTTTCTTGTAAGCTTAAAAGATCGGGTTCGGATTTTAACATTTCTGACTGAATATCCTGAAATAAATATGAAACATTTAAATAAGCATTTCTTTGGGTTAAATTAAATATGTGTAGCACAAATTAAACTCCCAGCATGCATCTTTAGAAGGGAAACACGACAATGAAAGCGAGAATTGTTTTTTTATATACCGAAAATCGCTATTTCTGGAAACTGATTAATTCTAAATAAAAATCAAATAAATTCCAAATGTAAAAGAAAGAGAGAATGCTTGATATTAAAATATCGTATCATATCAGGAGAATTGAATGCTACTAACGACATCTGAAGAAATAGCCGATAAAAGGTTTAGATCATTTCTTCGTTCACCTGCACTTAAATTTCAAACACAACAGAACTTGTAGTTTTTGCCGTGAAACTTCATGACTTCTATTAACTTATAAGACTCACCGTAAAACTGTCCAGAAAGTTTCTCTGAGGTCTATACTACATTTGTACCAAATCTGGTGTCGATCCGAGGTCTGGTTTGAATTCTAGAGTAATATTCTACGTTGTTGTTGATGTGATTTTTTTTTTTTTTTTTAAGAAGGGGGGGGGGTGAATTATTTATTTTATGCCTCTTTTAAACTAAGAATTGTAACTACTTCCACATCCTTAAGCCTGATTGTGACCTTTGGGTCAAGGGTCAAAGGTCAAGGTCATTACCAAAAAAAAAAAACCAAACAAAAAACAAGAAACAAAAAGAAAAAAAAAACCCAAGAAATCTTTACTTTCTATGGTTTTCCTGATACTGGAGCTGGATGCATGTCCTTACTTTTCCATTTGACCCAAGGTCAAGGTCAAAGGTCAAGGTCAAAGTTCAAGGTCATTTGCTGAATTGCCATATTGTACACATATATAAGGAATTTCTTATGTTTTTAAATGACCTTGACCTTTGACCTTGACCTATATCTCAAGGTCAAAGGTCAAATATGCCGATGTAGTTGGTCCCATGTCTCTAGGATAGACCGTTTTAAAAAAAAGTTCATTAAATGTAAGCAGCAAAAACTTTCAGGGACAGTAACTCATAGAAGGGGCCGAAGAACCCTTTCGCACTGTATAGATTGAAGAGTGTACTAAATGAGTCAAAGACACTGATGAAGGTTTGGAATGTCTACGGTTTACGGTTTCGGAGGAGTAGCGATAACAAGGTTTTACTGCGAAAGGGATGACAACTTTTGAATGGGTCAAGCTTGGGGGACAAGAATGAAATTTTTATAATACTTTAAGAAGGACATATTAAATATGCAAAGATATGTAGTATATGTTGAAAGACAAAAGAGCTATAAAAAGAGCTAATTTTCTTATATTTTGAATGACCTTGACCTTTGACCTTGACCTTAAGTTCAAGGTCTAAGGTCAAAGAATCTTATGCAGTTGGTCCCATGTCTTTACGACTTGTCATTTAGAAAAGTTTTTCATTATTCGTAAACATGAGAAACGTCCAGGGGCAATAACTCATAAAAGGGGTCGACGAATGCTTTCGCAGTGAAACCTTGAAGCGAGTACTCATTTAGTTGAAGACATTGGTTAAGGTTTGGTACCTCTGCGGTTTATGATTTCGAAGGAGTAGCGATAACAAGGTTTTTCGTTTAAAGGGCAAGAACTCCGAAAGGGGTCATAGGTCATACTCGTTGGGTAGTTTTTCGAAATAACTTTTGATGTCGAGTATCATGAACTATAAAGTTCTTCGAAAAGTCTTTCGGTTCAAAAGGCGGTAACGGAAAAATAATAATAATAATAATAAACATAAGCATTTCAATAGGTCTTTCCACAGAAAGGTGGAAAGACCTAATAAACAGAAGAAAATCAATAGGTCTTTCCACAGAAAGGTGGAAAGACCTAATAAACAGAAGAAAATCAATAGGTCTTTCCACAGAAAGGTGGAAAGACCTAATGAACAAAACTAAAGCGTGCAGCGAACTAATAAGAGTAAACTTTAACCATTGAATACTTTCATTTAAGTTTCTTTTAAAACTCTCTTTATCAAAATATAAAGAGACTAGCATTATGAAACATTTCTGGAAAGGAATGTAATTATTTAGCATTTATTTGTTGTTTGTAAATATAGATTGGAATTTATTTCGATAGATTAAAAAAAGGTAAAAAATGAAAGGTCTACATACTAAAGATATATGATGGATATTACTATTTTACTCGTAGGAGGATGTAACGATACACATTATGGTTATCAGTGCAACCAAACATGTCCGTGTGATTTGACAAACACAGCAGCCTGTCACGATGATACAGGGGCATGTACGTGTAAAACAGGTTGGACCGGAGTGGACTGTAGTACTGATATAGATGAATGTGCTAATAAAACGGACAACTGTAATGCAACCATAGAGACCTGTAGCAATGTTGATGGATCGTGGAATTGTGTGTGTATATACGGAAATAGCAGTACTGGATGCAATGGTACTAATGATCGTATATTTCTTTTTCTATACATTTTCAATAGTGAAATACTTTGAGTTATTTATTGAATAAAAGTGCTATTCTGTCACAGTGTGAAAGGATATCAAAGTGATAGTCTGTCACAATGTGAAAGAATATCAAATTAACTAAAAACTAATTTCTGGCCGGTCATAAGATAGAGATAGTTACTAAACTATTCTTGATAGAGACTAAAACTGCCAATTTCTTCCCAATTATGTTGCTAAAATCCATGTTACAATGTTTTCAATCTCACAATTGCTAAGCTGTGACGTCTCAACCGCTCAACTATGACAAAGCAGCGTATGACATTGTGTTAAGAAAAGACAGAGGCAAAGGGAAATCAATGTTTTGTAATTGGATATGGAATTTATTTCACTCGTGAGACAGGATTTTTTGGGGGGGAATTTATGGTCCCTGGATTCAGGGTTCAGGCTCTATTGCTGGGCTACAAGTTTGTCTCATAATTAAAAAAGCGCTTATTACATAAAATTCTCAGTTTCTCATGAAAATCTCATGCCGTTTTTGCGTGACTATAATGAATTATATGGAGATAACGAACAGTATTCAAGATCAAAAGTCCAAGAATCTACTTAAATAAAGATATATGTTGGATATTACTATTTTACTCGTAGGAGGATGTAACGATACACATTATGGTTATCAGTGCAACCAAACATGTCCGTGTGATTTGACAAACACAGCAGCCTGTCACGATGATACAGGGGCATGTACATGTAAAACAGGCTGGACCGGAGCAAACTGTAGTACTGATATAGATGAATGTGCTACCAACAAGCACGACTGTAATGCATCTATAGAGACCTGTAACAATGTTGGTGGGTCATGGAATTGTGTGTGTATATACGGCAATAGCAGCACAGGATGCATTGGTAAGTATGACCGCCAATTTTCAAAACCTTTTAAAACACTATGTTTGGACAAAACGGACATTTATAAAGCATATTCATTCACGAATTTTAATGAAATTTAGAAAAAATTATTGCTTTAAAGCAATTTTTCAATTTTAAGCAAATTTTACAAATCCATGATTTAAACACCAGACTCTGTACATGGTTGGTATTTTTAAATACCCTTTTTATTGATATTGATGTAATCTACGCTTGAAAAATGACACGTTTCATTGCCTTTACATCATATTTACAGCCAAAGAATCAGAGTATACTCCAGGTAACTAATTTAATTTTAATTTTACAATTTCTTCATTCCAAGTGTTTGATTTAATATTCTTCCTTTTTTAATTTGCGTTTATCAAAGAAAGCTACATTTTTGATTGTTTTAATTTGTAACTATGCGTACTTAAAAATGCGGGCTTCATGTTTTATGACAATGCGCTAATTCATGAATACTGTTAATAAATCACTTATAAATACAATAAAAGTATTAGGTGTGTAATGCTAAATCATGGTTACGCCAACCACTCAATTCCCAGTACTACACTAAAATTTGAATACGTCAATTTATGTACATGTACAATGTTTGATCTAAGACACTGCGAATAAAAGGCATTTACCCCTTAATTTGGTGTTGTAAATATACATGCACATGTAATGTTAGTTTTGTATGTCTTCACCAGAAAGTACAGAGCTCAAAATAGGAGTTGTTGTAACTTTCAATGAAACCATAGATCTGAGTGATTATGATGATGCCAAAAAGGAAATGAAGATAGCCGTACGTATTTATTATTGATAATTCTCATTATAATTTACAAGAAGATAATCATTTCATTCTATGAATAAATTATATTGTTTAGTTTAATATACAATTTAGTATGTTTTTGATTGTTCACAAAAAACTAAAGAGCAAGAATTATTTAATGTACTTCTCTATAATTCTCAATTTAAAATATTTTTTTTTAAACTAAATAATGTCAAAATATTTGATGTGATCTTCCGCAGCTTACGAATTACTACAAAGAGAAAATAAAAGGATTTATAAAAGTTGTTATCCTTGTCATGAGGTAGGATGTTATTTCATATTTAATTTTTACTTGTACACATGTTTGCATAATATGAAAATAAATTTTACGTTGTTTATGAAAGATTAAAAGTTTAATTAAAAGTTAATTTTAAAAATGTGGCTTGGTTCTTTGAAATGATCTCCTGTCTTGACTCGATGGGCGGAGTTTTTAGAAAAGTATGAGTTACATACAGATAACCCACATTTTAAACAAAAGAAATCATACCTAAGTATGGTACAATTCGTGAAAATTGCGCATAACATAAGAAAGTAACATATATTGTCCTTTGAAGGGATTTTATATTAAACTATGAATATCTTATTTTTAAATATTTTTGAAAATATATCACGAAAAACTTCTTCATAATTTCTGGGAACACTATATATGGTATAATTTTCCACGACATATTGATAACTAACATTTATTTTCTGGATAAATGCTACCTCAACATGGAAGAAATTACTTGCGTACACATACCATCTTGGAATTAAGACGTTTTTACTTTTCAAAAATACTAAATTTTAAAGCTGCAAAATTAAGGCTTAGATAATCATTCAATATCACAAAATTAATGAGTATAATTTATGCAAAAGAAATGGCTGCTCTCATTGTCTTAAAAATCTTATTGACTGAGCGCTTTGAGTGTGGTGTAATGTTCGTTGATATTTTCCGTTTAAAATAGGGAAGGAAGTACAGTTGTTGAACACGAAATCGTCACAAATAAGACAGAAAAAGCACAACAAGACACTGCTTTGGCAGTCGTTAGCCTGTCTAATGGCGAGAACAAAGTTGAATATAAAAACCAAACCCTTTCAACTACCTTAGTAACTGTGGAGGATAAAAGTGGGTAAAATACTCCAAACGTAATTTTCAAGCTATTAATATAGTCACTTAAGTTCTTGAAAATTCAGCAAACATTATAATATGATAGAATTCTTACTGATTTTGAATTTGATATCCTTTATTCTTTAATGGTATATCTAAATAAATTATATTTCATTTTTAAATTGATTGTTTTATATATAAACTTTAACATCAAGCAAACAAAATATTCCGTTTGATTTTTAGGTCACCTGAATTACTCAGGTGACCTATTGCTATCCGTTTTTGTCTGTCGTCGTGCGCGTCGTCTGTCATGCGTTAACTTTTGAACATTTTCAGCTTCTTCTCCAAAACCGCTGAACCAATTATAACCAATTTTGGCATATAGCATCTATGGGTAAAGGGGAACAAAAATTGTGAATTTCCTGATCCCTGACCCCCTGGGGCCTGAGGGGTGGGGATAAAACCACCAAAATTGTTGCAATCTTTAAAAATCTTCTTTACTCCTGGACATCAAGCAGTCAAACTGTTGGCATGATTGTAATAAGCATTGGGCTCTCTACCAAAATTGCGAAATTCATAGCCCCAGTGTCAGGGTTTCTGGTGTTAGAGTGGGGCTATATAGATCATATAATGAAAGTACATTATTTCTGTGAAAATCTTCTCTTCTCCAGGGTACTATTTAAACAAACTAAGTGCATGGTTATGATAGGCAATGATGCCTTTTCTAAAATTGCGAATTTCATGGCCCCTGGGTCAGGGGTTTTGGTGTTAGGGCGGATCTCTATTGATTATATAGTGAAAATGCATTAATTCTTTGAAAATCTTCTTCTTTGCTCCTGGGCATTATTTACACAAACTAAGTGCATTGTTATAATGCACAAGGCTGTATTTTCCAAAATTGTGAATTTCATGGGCCCTGGGTGAGGAGTTTTGGTGTTAGGTTGGGGCTCTATTGATTATATAGTGAAAATGCATTAATTCTTTGAAAATCTTCTTCTCTGCTCCTGGGTATTATATAAACAAACTAAGTGCATGATTATGATGCAAAAGGATGCCTTTTCCAAAATGGTGAAATTCATGGCCCCTGGGTCAGGGGTCTGGTGTTAGGGTAGGGCTATATTGATCATATAGTGAAAGTGCATTGATTCTTTGAAAATCTTCTTCTCTGCATTTTATTTAAACAAACTAACTGCATGATTATGATAAGCAATGATACCTTTTCAAAAATTATGCAATTCATGGCCCAAGGGTTGGGGGTGGGCTTAATTAATAATTTAGTGAAAATGTGTTAATTCTTTGAAAATCTTCAACTAGGTGCAAAGATATGATGATGAGGGTACCTCTATCAAATTTGTGAATTTCATGACCCTGGGACATGGGTTTTAGCGTTAGGATAGGGCTGTGTTGAATTTGTATTGAAAATGCATTATTTCTATAAAAATCATTCTCCTTGGCAAATCGAAGGCAAACAGAATAAATGTTTTAATAAGCAAGGATATTTTTACCAGATATTTTAAAATCAGAAACCATTTTGGTTAAGTGTTCTGGTCTTGGCCAGGGCTCTATTAATTTGTATTCTATTGAGAGAAGTTATTCCCCTTTGCCATTCACTTTTGATAATTAATCACTGTAAATAATGTATTTGAAAGTCAATAGAATAAGAGCATTATGCAAAAAATGTTATTGTATAATATAAAAAGCACTTTTATAGTTTTAATGATCAGGTAGACTTGTAAATAATGAATAAATCAAAATGAGACAAAAATAATTTATTAAATGTTCTTGAAAGACCAATATGGGCCAATGTGAGAGGTCACAATACTGGGTTAAAAGTAGTACAAAAGAACTAATAGTTTGTTAATTGTCTGCATGGTGAAAGTAATAAATGGGGGATAGATTAGAATTTAATTTATGAGTTGTTACTGAATACCAAACTAATTATTTCATTGATCCTGATCATCCTATTTCCTCTAGCTTTTGGGCAACAAAGCTTCATCTATCAGTTTATTTTATCCTCTGGATCATCTAAATTGTATTATACTCAGGTGACCGTTAAGGCCCTTGGGCCTCTTGTATTTTGAAGATATTAAGTAGACCCAAGACTATTCATTGACCATAACTGAAAAGAATAACGATATAACTATTATTTCAGACATAACATCTTCAAATTCTAAATGTGATGTTTATATTATAAACTTTCCATGTGATGCTGGAGAACAATGTATTGAGAGTGGAGATAGCGTCTACTGTTCGTACGTACATTGTTATATTTTTGTATGAATTGTTTTTCAGTTTTATTTTTATGAATTTTCATTAGTAGTAATAATAATAATAAAAATAACAAAAACAACATATTACATGTGTTTGTATCAACTATTGTTTTGAACATATTTATAGGAAGATAGCCGATGACAGTAAGTATTCTCTACGATTTTCAACATTAAAAAATTAGAATATTTTAAAAAAAATTATCTCAACAAATATGAAAAGATTCTAGTAAAGTTGATATTTGGCAGATATGAATAGTGCAGATATAATATGTATGTTTGAATACTAAGGAGGCCGGATACGTCAATGCCTTTTCAAAAGATTTTATGGGGAAATGATTTAACGTTGATGAAATATTTCTTAAATCACCAAAATGCCTTGCCAACTGTGAAATGTTTGATCTGTGCCACCTTAGTCGCTCAAGTGACTTGACATATTGCTTAAGAATTCAATCCTAAAGAGATGGTGAGAAAATCTTCAACTTTTTATCTCACCTGAGCTAAAGGCTCAAGTAAACTTTTTGGTCACATTTTGACTGGCGTCCGTCTGTCTCTCCGACTGTCCTGCCTGTCTGCCCGAACAACATTATAGCGTTTTAAAGAACCAAGAAGAGCCAATTTCAACCAAACTTGCTACAAAGCATTCTTGCAGAAAGGGAATTCACATTTATTTAAATGAAGGGTCATGCCCTTTTTCAAGGGGAGATACTTAAGAATTGGTGAAATGTTGGTGTCATCTTTTAAAAATCTCAGGAATCATTGGGCCAGAAAAAATGAAACTTTTGTGAATCTTTTATTACATAATATAGATTCAAAAATTTGTTCAAATCATAATCCCTAAATGTAGGGAGGGGCCACAATGGAGGATCAAAGTTTTACATAGGAACATACAGGGTAAATATTTAAAAATCTTCTTCTCAGGAACAACAAAGCCATGATTTGTCATATTGATATAATTGCATCCTCAGGTAGTGTAGATTCAAGTTTGTTTAAATCACTACCTCGAGTACAGGTTGATCACAAGGTTGGGATCAAATTTAAAAATAGATGGGGGATCAAAATTAACAATAGAAATATATAGAGAAAAATCTTCTTTTTTTCTCAAGAATAATAAACCATTAATAGTTATATTGATAAGGAAGCAACCTCAGACAGTTTAAAATTCAAGTCTGTCTAAATCATGACACCCCCCCCCCCCTTTAGGTTGGCACACATCTTTAAAAATCTTCTCAAGAACAGCAAAGCCATAATTAGTCATACAAATGTGAAAGCATCCTCAGTCTGCATTAAAGTTTGTTCAAAACATAACACCTGGGGTTTTGGTGGGGCAAGAACAGGTGATGAAAGTTTTACACTTGATATTTAGGAGAGAAAAAGACTGCTGATGAAGAACGACAAGACCATATTGACTCAAGTCAGCATTGTGGCGCTTGGGCCTCTTGTTCTCTTGAACTCATTTTGACATATAACATCAGAACAAAAAATAAAATTTCTTGATCACAGAAATCCTAGAGTGTTTCTATGCTGGGGGTGGGGTGGGGGGGGGGGGTATCATCATTCTGACTTTCGTCAAAATTTCCTTTTGCAAACTGTAATATTTAACAGACAAATTGTAATAAGATTGCCATCTGTCAAAATCATAAAATTTTAGTCTTAGTGTTAAAATCCAGGATGTAGTTCTTTCGTAATGCTGACTTTTTTTCATAAAAATTGTTAGATCATTAATCATTTACACAAAGTATTGTCTTCGGATTTTTTCAATCAAGAATCACACAGTTGGGGTGACCAGTCGACAGAGGATGCTTACTCCTCAATGGCACATGATTTAACCTATAGCTCTGATGTTTCTAGATATCCTTGTTTGGTCTGCTCCAAATTCGTATTGTTTCTATAGACATTTAAGGTTGACTTCTGTTCTTTATCTCCATATTTTATTTTCAAAATTTTCCCTAACAACATATATGGATATCTGTATAAATCGTCTCTTCTTTTGAGCATCTACGCCTGAAACAGCGTGCAAAATTAAAATGAAAAAAAGTACTCTGGTACACTTTGGTAAACTTTCACATGGGTACGGGGTTGTAGGTAGAACTAAGTTGATTATGGGCAAAGAAATTCAAGATACTTATGTTACCTCAAGGGCAATTGACCTTTATTGTATATGTTGCTACATGTTCTATAATACTATAAAGACTCATTTCATGTTTTTGTTTAAAATGTTTTCTCTTGTAGCTATGTGTTGATTATACCTTGAGAAAAATCTTTTCTACATGTGCATCTCTGACATATGATCTTTAGTTTTGGGGAAAATCTTACGTTGCATCTGATAAATCTTTTATATTTTTGGAAAGATGACGAATTTAAGCTGATTGTCGGTCTTGGAGTTGGAATACCTCTCCTCTTCATAGCAGTTTTAATCCTCGCAATTATTTGTGTTTACTGGAGAAGACGTCAAGATGATGATTCATCAAATTTGTCTGAAGATGAATTTGGGTATGTTATGAAAACAATAAATGATGAAAATTTAAACCTGCATTGTTTAATTAGTACTGCGCTCAATAAATGAAAAAAATGATTCACACAAATTCGATATTTGATGTTGAATTTATACACAATACCGTTGAACATTAACAGGTATAATGGAAAAATACATCGTGCATGTCTTGATTGTTACGGATTAAAATGACGGCAGCTAGACATTTGCAATCATACCAGTTCATGTTCGTCTGTCTTTAGCAGTATATAAGACAAAATGCATTTCTCTGTCATTCAGTATGTATAAATTAAACAAATATCAAACTGTGAAACTCGGATGAGATAAAAAGAATAGGAAACACTTAAATAAAAAAATGAAATTAAATTATAAGAATCATCAGGGCTTACAGTTCATAGTTTGTTAATGAAGCAACACAATTGCTGTCTGATATTATGGATAGGTTACATACGGTTGGAGCAAACTCAATTTATTCCTCGTAAAAACTTGTAAGAGAATTCAAAAAATAGTTTTACGTCTTTGCACATTTTTTTCTTAATAATGAAGGGTAAACTGTACATGCAAGTATGAATACGTAGTAGACGCTGAAATATCGTTTTTAAAAACAAAGAAATGCGATTGAACAAATTACATTTTAAGCATCGGAATGAAGGTGTGGTGTAGATTCATGTTTGTTCATTTCATGGAACCCAGGGAAAAGAGTTAGGAAGGAGGAATACGCAGAGAAAAAAAAAACAACCAAAGCATAGTTTATTAATTTTATGTAAAAGCAAGCAAGCACGTATAGTTTAATCTTAAAGTTGATTAATTTCAAGTAAAATAAAAATGTAAAGCGATTGTAACGACAGTTATTCCAAATAAACATATCTTTTAACCAACTATGAGTTTTATAACAAAACTATATTTTCATCTGATCAATATATAAGCAGAGTAATTATAGCTGCAGTAACATTGGGCAACAAGTATGATCAGGAAAAGCAGGAAGAAAAGTAGTGTCTAAGGACAGTGCATTAAACTTGGCTGTTTTTCGAAGAAAAAAAAACATCCAAGAACCACTTCCCTTTAATGTTGGTAGCAAATCAGAAAAAAACGAATTAGTAAATATTTGAGCAAAACAATTTCTTGATAACTTATTGACCCATAGTAATAAAAATATCACAAATATTTTTATCCTTCCTTGTTAAAATAGAGGATTTAAGCCTTTTTTCACTCTTAATAATTGAGTCAATTTTCCATTGTCAATCACACTTGAATGTATATTACATGTACTTTTTAATCTATGAGGATTTGTAGAAAAAAAAAAACCCAGACAGATATGAAAAAAAAAAATTTTCCAAACTGGTTTGGCGAAGATAAATACAAGTGAAAACAATATGATGTGAAATGAACCTAGATTACAAATTTTGATTTTTTATGGAGAAATTTAAATATTTTCATGAAATGAACGTAGGGATTAAATGTAGACCTTTATGAAAAGATTCAAAAATATTCAAAGAAATTATCTAATCCTGTAAATGAAATATGTAGATAGCGTGCAGTAATGTATCTACACACCGGAGGAATGAAAATTAAATTGACTATTTTTTTAAGTGAATGATCGTCTGCAGACAGACAGACAGACAGACAGAAGGACACAGAGCAGAGAGGGAGAGAGAGAGACAGAGATAATCAATTTTAATTGTAATTATCATCTAAATAGCGAGCATAACACTTTTTAATGCCATTTATAATTGATGACACATTAGTTTTTTATCATAAGAAGATTTTTTTGCAGAATTGCGTATGGAAGTCCAGGAAGTTACTTTCCCTCTGTAATACCAACGAAAATTGACAGCTGGGGTAGGCATGTATCGCCGTACTCTCCACATTACTTTTCGGATCATTCCACTATACAAGGAGGCAATCGATTAGATGATGTCACAAACTACACAGAACCATATTGTAAGTATATATATCATATAAAGGAAACCATTCTCTTCTTTCTTTCTACATGTGATCAGTCGCCCGCGTGGCGCAGTGTTTAGAGCGTCTGCTCTAGAGTCGCGGAGTAAGGAGTTGATCCTTACCTCGCGGACTCGAATCCCACTGTGGGACATGGAGTTCGGTCCTTCGGATGAGACCGTATAAACCGAGGTCCCGTGTCGCAGTAGGTGCTGGCAGGAAAAAGATCCCTCACTGCTCAATGCCCTGAGTGCCGAGTATAGGTCAAAATTTGCAGCTCTCCACCGGCCAATGGTGGCGTCTCCATATGAGTGAAAAATTCTCGCGAGGGACGTTAAACAACACACAAACAAACAAGCAAACTTATCCATGTATAAATTGAAATGTACATAGATAGTAACACAGAAAAATATTTGCAGCTGCTTATTGATTATGATAAATACACTAGCTTTTCTTTATGTTTGAAGATTCTATTCTACAACATCCAGAATAAAAAAAAATGATTAATCTATGCAATAATTTTGTATGTTTTATACAAATAACAGTCCTTAAACAAGACCACAAATTCTGGAATACTTAAAGCCTTAATCATAACTATTAGAAAACTATCGTGAAGATGAATCAAAGGGGAGGAATGGGGCACTTCAATATTTCAAATTTCGCCATAAATATGTATTTTAAGAATTTTCATACAGGTACAAAAAATGTAGATTCCCAGTAATAATTTCAAATGATGACTTACATCCCAGAACCTGACTCACTCCTAATCCCAACTGAGCAGCGAACTGCACTGTTAAAATTTAGGGTAACACAACATCATTTATAATTTTAAAATTGGAAGTCACTTAGGGTGGCTAAATTTAAAAGGAAATGTAATCGTATTTCCGGAAAACACAGTACGTAAAGTGAATTTTTTAAAGAAATAATAAAATTACAAAAACACATGTTCAGTTTGATTAATGATTAACAAATGAAAAAATAATTTTTTTATCTTATATCCCTGTGATTTGTTACCACTTTAATCTAAAAGATCCTACCCATAAGATCGGCGTTGAAAATATTGGGGGGGGGGGGGGGCTTGATGCTACCCTACATTTTGACATAAAGAAATGGAGCCCACGAATTTTATGCACAAACTTTTTTAAAACACTTGGGTCAGTGTAGGCACAGATGTGTAAGTTGACTCTAAATGCTATCCCAGTTGGATTTAATTAACCTAGGAATCGGAGGGGGGGGGGGTATACATTTGGTCTATAAAAATTAAATGGGAAGTATTTTGCATTTTAATCGTCGGATTCATTTAAAATAACAGAAAAGAGGAAACAATTATGAAAAAAAATAATTTTTTTCCCACAATTATTCCTGTTTAGAGATCCTTCTTTGTCCATTCAGCATATTCATAATTTGTCTCACGTCAAAGCTCAGTAGAATAACACCTAAAAGTGGCATTTTATCACTTTCTTTTCCAATAACACTTAACGAATCATCTTCAGGATAGTATCTTGCCCGAGTTCCTTCCTAAACTGAATTTGATATAAAGATTCATCAACAGTCATCACTTTCAAAAACTGTATTCAAACTGTCTGCTCTGCCTGAAAATTTTCGCCCCTTGTAGAGGGTGGTCAAGCAGGAATGTGTTAGAAATGTATATCTGATAAAATATGACTGCGAAAATTAATCTTTTAGGAAACGCAGTCTTCATTATAATTAAAAGTCATACGATATGCATGAAGTTCGAAGACTAATAACCGAATCAAAAACAATTTTTGACTGTATTTTTTCAAATATCTCCCCCATAAGTGCCTTTAGAAAACAAGGTCATCAAGTGGGATGATCAACCACATGGATTTAATTTAAAGTTTTCCTACTTTTAAGATTTAATGCAGAATCCGCCCAAAAGCTAAGCCGGAAAACGTCTAACAAAAATACGTCTAAGATTTAAGGTTGAATCCGCCTAAGATATGAGGCGGAAAACGGTTAAAGCTAAGACGTTTTCGATGTCCGTCTTTTACTTGGCTTAGTCCTTAGCTAGCACTAAACCGGAATCCGGCTCAGTCCGCCTGAACTCCAGGCAGAAAACGGTAGAGAGTTTCGTGCGGGCGAAAAAAAAATGATGCATTCTAATTAGCATGTCTTGTTCTGAAATGAAGATCATAACACATTAACAGAAAAATTAAGGACCAACAGCCAATCTTGAATTTGAAATGCAAACTTTGCCGAGCTCTGCGCTTTTAGGCAGGTTTTAGTAAATGTTGTTTGAATGATTTTTTTGTTGTTGAAAATTATCATCAGAAGACTTCTGAAGTCAGAATTGCACATTTATGATAGGAATGATACGATGTTGAACTTGCTTCGAAGTTTTATGGAAGTTTTTATTACTCTTGCTCTCAGAGTGTTTCATATTAATAACCAGATATTATGAAAGCGAGTTCAAAATTCTTTTTAATTTAAAAATTATCAGTTTTCCCCCAGAAAATACGATTAAAAGTCATATAAACATTGTAAAAATTGCACAATTGTCTTTTTATGATACATGTTATGCTTGCAGAATTAGGAAATTGGGTACACCCTGTTAAACATAAACATACTTTAAAACAAAGATTGAACCTTTGATTACAAACACAGTATTTTATTTTAATGATTTAAGATTGAACTATTAGAATTTTCATAGAAACTAATACAAGAGAAGAAGAAAACTCTGTGGCCTTCAACTCGACATTTAGATATATTGATGACGCATTATCAAATAAAAATAGTTACTTCCATTCATTGTAAATAATATATCCCAGTTAGCTTGAAATAAAAGCTAACACAGAGTCTAACACAATTGTTACATTTTTGGTTATTTTAGAGAAAGACGTTATTGATAACTTAATAACAAAATTTTTGATAAACATGATGGCATCATCTTTTCTATCGTCAACTTCCCCTACTTATTACGTAGCAATATGCCGTTATCACCTTTATATAGGGTTAATGTCTCCCAGTGATTATATTAGAAACGCAAGAGCATGCTCTACATACGAACAATTCTAAAACGAGGCAGTTTATTGACAAACAAGTTGATGAAACAAGAATATTAGCAGTTGAGGTCATCATTTTGCAAGTTCTATGGTCGATTGGTTGACTGAATGTTGTTTTACGTCCCGTTCGAGAATTATTCACTCATATGGAGACGTTACCATACACCGGTGAAGGGCTCCAAAATTACACCATTACTCGGCACTCAGGGCCATTGAGCAGTGAGGGTTCTTTATCATGCCAATGCCTACCGTGACACGGGGCCTCGGTTTTTAAGGTCTCGTGCGAAAGACTCGCAACTTTCACTTCAAAGTTATATGTTCGAAATGTTGACCTTGTCAACAAAAATAATATGTCATTAAGAAAAATGCTGACAGGCGGTTTTTTTTTTTTTCAAAGTAATCGTTAGGCCATTATTAACACGCTGAATTGTCTAAGGATTGTCCAAGGATTTTTCCGATTTTCCCAATCATGACAAGGAGCACAAGGAGCGAGTCTGACCGGTTGACAGGGGACGATTCTTCTCCATGGCACCTTATCCTACATCTGTTGTTTTCAGAGGTGTGTGTTTGCTCAGTTCCCGATTTGTATTGTTTAATTGGACTTTTGAGCATGATTACTGTTCGTTATCTTCATATTTCACACTAAGTTGTCTAGTATTTTTCCGTTCGTGCGATTATAACAAGGAGCACACACCTCGTCTGATCGGTTGACAGGGATTCGTACTCCTCCTTGACTCCTGATCCCACCTCTAATGTTTTTAGAGATCCGTGTTTGCTCTGCTCCCAGTTTGTATTGATTCAATGAACTTTTTAGCTCGATTACTGTTCGTTATGTTCATATTCCATTAGTTCAAATCATTATTATTAAAAAAAAAATAGGGGAAATTCAAAATTGTTCAAAATGCCAATGCAACTAATGCTATGTCGATGTGGCTTAGCCTCTGTGTCACAAAATTTTTGCAAAATATGATTTGCATCTGAATGTTCTATTTAATTGTGTAGTTATGATCAGTAGAAAATTCTAGCACTTATTCCAATATAACAGGAAATGTAAGTTCAATTTCATTTTTATGAATTTCAAATTGCACATGTCGCCCGCGAGGCGCATTGGTTAGAGTGTTAACTCTTAAGTCGCGGAGTAAGGAGCTGATCCTTATGTTGCGGGTTCGAATCCCACTGTGGGAGATGGAGGCAGGTCCTTCGGATTAGACCGTATGAACTGAGGTCCTGTTTTGCTGTAGGTGCTGGCACGAAAGAGATCCTTTACTGCTCAATAGCCCTGTATGCCGAGATTAGGTCTAAATTTGTAACCCTCCATCGGCAAGTAGTGAGTAAAAAAAATTGAGAGGGACGTTAAACAATAAACCAACAAAACAAATTGCACATATCCATTTCCTTTATCGCTTTTCCTCCCCAGTACTTTCATTACATTGATTGAAAAAATACTCGGCGTTATTGTCCGAAAGCCTGGTTCCTTATTTATGGTTGGGAATTGTTGTATAATGTGTTGAGAAGTTTTTCGTATAGTTTTGATGGTATAAGTTTTGGTAAATGTTGCGAGTTTACATTCTCTAAGAGTTCCTTGGAGATTTTAATTATCCAAATCTGATTCTCAAGTATGTTGCTGCACGACCACTCCTCAAATATGTTGCTGCACCGTACACCTGGCCTTTCTCTTCCTTTTTGCTCAGGATTAAGGAAAATGGTTCGGCAGAACATTTAGAAGAACCCACTACGTATTTTTATTTATTTGAAAAGATTTTTCATCCAAAATCCATTTTTTTTCAGTGTATGACAATGGCGAGAAATCGAATTTTTCTTGGGATTTCATGTTTCAGTCTTTACATCCTAATGAAAAAGTAAGTATTATAAATAAATTCTGTTAAACTAAACCTTTTTCATCATGTTTAAAATAAGAGGTTTTTTTTTATCCTTTAACATGCATTAACTTTGGTGTGCTTTTTCATTCATAAGAATGAAAATAAGATCTATGACTTTTCGAAAGAAACTCGTTTTAGGAACAATGCTTCAAATTATATAAACTGAATTTAATTATAAACATAAAAGAATAAGACAAATACTTTTTTTATTTACTTATCAACTTTACTTATTAAATTTAGAAATTTATTTAGATGATTTTAAAATTTTTGGTTAATGAACAGGTCTGTAGCAACGGTTTCAAAAGAGGGAGAGGCAACTTTCCAAAAAAAAAAAATCGGACAAGCAAAAAAAAAAAAAAAAAAAAAAAAAAAAAAAAAAAAAAAAAAAAAAAAAAAACTCGTTAACTATCCAAATCCTGGAATTTACCAGTGCATTAAAAAGTGTATGTGTTTGGGGGGGGGGGGGGGGGTCACTATAGCAAAATACCCCTGCGTTCTGCGGGCCTGATGGATGATAGTTCAGCCATATATAGGAGAGAAGTTTTATCTATATATGCAAAGGAAAATTCATGAAAAAAAGACAGAAGGTTTCGAAAGGGGTTTTTAAAATAAACTATGTTCTTCCAGGAAATGTCGTGATACATTTCTACATGATTCTTGGAAAGGTGTTTAAAGGTGTTCAAAGATGTTTTCCTTGATAATTCCATGTTAAACTTTGATGTCCATTGCTCCTCCATATATAGGAATCCAGATTTCGCTATAGTGAAACATTCACTTGAATAATAATTTATTTCATGATAAGTAAAATTTTGACGATTAAATATTTGTCAATGTTTTTTTTTCTAGTTTCACATAAGGAGGCCTGAAATAAGATCTCAACCATTAAAAACTGAGGTAAGATAAAAAGGATCCTCTTTATGTTTTAGCATAACAACTTTTTTGATATATAGCATTTTACAGCACTTGCCTATTTTCCCAGCTATAGACAAGGATCAACCAATTTCATTATAAGGCATCATTTGAAATGTCTTACCCTTCTTTATTACCTTTCTGAAAAAATAAGTAATTGTTTTATTAAAGATATGAAATATTTCTTATCCATTTTACAAGAACTGATAAGAATTTTCGAAATCTTACAGAAGAAATATTAAAAATATCATCTAACTTTGTGCATTGCCATAACAGAAGAAAAGGAAATAAGTTAATCCTAAAATGACGTTTTGTTTGACAAAATTGTACGCATGTATAAAATCAACTGAGAGAGAGAGAGAGAGAGGGAGAGAGAGAGAGAGAGAGATATTAGCTGACCGTTGTGGTATGGGTCTTTCTTTTACATGTATATGCGCTGAAAAAAATGAAAATGTGAGAGAGCACAAGTGTCAGCCGTTTTAATTTATAACATTTTAATAATGGTCAAACAAGTTCATACCTGTATTATTCAATATAGTTTATGATCATATATTTTTCTCTTTCCACAGTGATGTTTAAGGAAATTGATATTTGCGCTTTGTTCATCGGTGTTTTAATGTGCCATAGATTTTCATTATTTATCAAAGACACTCATCGAGTGAATTAAGCCGGGTATAGCAGGACTTTCATCATCAACTAGAAATTTCTGAAGTACTTTATGAAATGTTTGTCAGGAATTATGTAGTCAGAATAAAATTCATTTGAATGATTGTTTGAAAGGGAAATACATTAATTATGTATGTATATGTGCGGATATATAATGCAGCTATGATATTTTATAATTTTAACTTTTTTTTCAAAAATCTTGACTTAAAGCATTATTGGATAAGCAAAATGTATATATTTTTTTCAACAATACCTTTCTGGTGGCTGATTTATAATCACGTATACCTTTGTAATCTAAACAGGCACCACTTGTTTATATATATCAGCTCATACTTGTATATAAAGATTTGAAGGAGTGACTTTAATTATTTTAAGCAATTGAAAACATTATGACGTATATTATAAATAAAAATAATCAAACATTAAAGAGTTTGAGGAGAATAAAACACGAAATAATTAAAAAAGCATATTTCATTAGAATTCAGCAAAACAAAAGCAAGCAGACGTATAATTTTAAATGCATGCAATTAATACATGTTACACTCATATTCAGTATTTCTGTTTTAATCAATAAACATTTTTTATCATGTGTTTCTTTTGCTCATAAAACTATATTGTTCATCATATATTTTATATATTTTTACTCTAAATATATATGTTTGTATATTTTCATGTTGATATCTTCCTTTTGTAATTAAATTGTTAATTTTTTTGTTCTGGTTTTGTTGTTTTTTTTCTCTTCAAAAACTGCAAAAATGCTTTATTTACACGAGATTGTTTAAATTCCTGTAGCATCAACTTGTCTGTCAGTAGCCTACCTCGGTATAAAATCTAATATTTCGCGGAGCATTCTTTTGCGTATCGAATTAGTTGGGAGATGTAAACACCCTATGCAGGTGATAGCGGAATATTACTTCATAGATACATGTAAGAAAAGTTGTCGATGGAGAAGCTGAGATCATCTCGTTTGACATACAAGTTAGTAGTTTGTTGACCCTTATCGTCTATTGTCAGTAAAAAATGCAAAACTGAAACAGAAGTGGCATACTCATTGGTGTCGTATTCTGAATTCACTTGGATATATCGAGTCGACTAATGAAAGTAACTATAATTGTTAAGTTGATAATATTCTTATGTCGTCGATCAACTGTTCCCCTGTTACAACCCCCCTCCCGTAATAAAAAAAAACAAATCACAAGCATTTATGTCAGAATAAATATATGCTTATAAAATAAACGATACCTGTAATGAATTCATAAAATTAATCAACCAAATTACGTTTTATATAATTAATTGACGTAGAAATGCATGTAGTGTACTTTGCAATTAAATATCAATTTTACACTTGTCTTGTGCAGTGGAGCGTAGCTAATCCCTGTTTGTTTCTATAGTGAGTAAAATTTATGAAATAATCAAGCCATGCTGTATTTATACATGTAAGCCTATATTGGAAGTTCAGGTTTCCTAGGTGAGAAAGACGGAGTACCTCATCTATTTATGTAATCGCCAGACATGGAATAAAAGTTGTAATAAGTGATTTCATATTTGGATTCTAAGAACTTTAGATAAAAATATAACAGCCGTTTTGTTATTATTAAACAATAAATAAAATCAATTAACAATGGATAAATATTTTTAGAATTAAAAGTGTAGCAAAAAATATTAAAGATTTTTTAATAACAAAGGGGAATTTTTTTTAAATTAAGTACTCGATTTTGATAAGTCAATATTTTTGAAATCACATAACTGACCCAATATCCATGATGGTTTATTGTGTAGGAAAAGGCTATTTGAGACTGAATACGCTTCCTTGAGTAAGAAAAAAGATGGATGTAATGTTTCAAGTCGAATCCAATGATTTAGCATAGCTTTAATATTTTGACAATACAGTGGAAATCTACCTAGCTCAGATAGAACTGCAAATTTCGTTGACTTTCTATGCACACCAAGAATAACATTACAGTATTTAATATTTAAATTTGGAAGCCAAGAGTAAAAAGCCCCTGAAATTTCACAACCATATAAGTATCAAAATTTTTACTATCGTTAACTATAGTAAACTATAGTTAACTATAGTAAAGTTTTGTTAGGAGACGATGGAATAACGAAACGACATTCGAATAAATACATGCAATAAAAGAGTGAACACAAGATGTAATTCTCATCTTAAAATTGCGAATAGTCTTTCTTTAGACACAGCCGATAGGATAATTTTCCTAAACAAACCTGTTGACTTTCCGTGTATATGTGTATATAGAGAGTACAGTCATCAGGGTTAATATGAATGCTTCACAATCGCGAAAATTATTTGTCAATTACTGTCTGTGTTAATTTTGTAATACATTATGCATCGCTATACTAGGCTTTGTTCGAAAAAAATTTTAATTGCACTTGATCTCATACCATATCCCATTGTATTTTGTTACAGGAAACATACCTTAGTTGCGATATGTTTTGACACATCGATGATTATTAAAACAATCCGCTTAAATATTGCAATATCTTTATATCCTGGGCAATCAATAATTGAACAATAACAATATACATATGTAACAAACACCTGAGGTGTGAATAGTGTGTGTGTTTAACCCCCCCCCCCCCCCAAGGGGTTTTGGATTATATTTTCATATTTTTCATTAAGGCACAACAAAAATTCTACTTTTCTAAAGTATTAAGGATAAAATTTACTTTGTGAAAGTGCATAGATGTGTCAATCAAACGCCTCCCGAAATTTGTAGTTTCAATAATTTCCAGATAAAATAGGTTTTTATTTTAATTCCATGTAAAATGCTATAAAACATATAAGTCATGATATTATACCGAAAACTTGAGAAAATATTAACTTCAAATCTGTGTCCAAGCTCCTTTAAATGTAGACTATAGCAACTTTTGTTTGGTCAAGTTGGGGTCATGGCTGATGTTGACAAAATGTTATACCATGTAGTGAAAAAATGTAGTGTTGCCAAAAAAAAAAAACAACAACAAAAAAACCCATCGATTTTAAAATTCTGAATTACAATTAAGTCAAAAAAAGTATTTTCAAAGTGTAAAACAATAACTGATATATAATTTAAAATTTAAAAATGTTATATACAAATGTAAATCACAGGCAGCATTAATGAGAGTCAAGTATCTGTGCATACCCAATAATGTCAGGAGTGATGTTTTGTTCCCCATCATGAACAAACTTTTAACAGTATATGATTCTCTGATTTTTATTTTTGAAAATAAAGACACAAAGAACATTTTTACCACATAGATTTATCAATTACAGGATCTATCTGTGTTTCAGATCTATATTTCTATGGTCAGAGTGCAACACTTTTTTTTGAAAGATTCAGGTCATATGATGAAAAGACTTCTACTTATGCTAAGATATATTCTTTGATTAATAATTAATGATCTTTTTCAATAAATTAGTACTAAATTATTGACAGTCTTATTAATAAAATCCTTCTCTTTTTTCAATTTTATCAATTCAAGTGTTTTTTTTTTCTTTGATTTTTTAAGAACGTGAAAAATAAACACACTGAAAAATTGTTATAAAGTTCAAGTAATTCCTGCTTAACTTCACTGACACAACAGAACAAGTTCTCATGTAATTTCCGCTTCACAATTCTACTTTTAAGACTTCCATGCTCTTGGTCAGGAGTGCAACAAATATGTTACAATTGTTGCTGATCAAATATGAATTAATATAAAGAAAAATTTGATGAGTAGAATGTTTCTTGTTGACCTCAGTTGCTTACAAGGTTTGTCCTGTGAAGGAAAAATATAGTATAAAATAATTTTTATCTTCTAAACATATATTTTAGCTAGTTTTTTGACATAAATAGGGAATAATTCAAGATATAAAGGCAAGTTTAAATATTTTCATGTGTTTTAATTATGAAGTATTGGACTATAAATATTGCACAATTTTTTAATGCAGTCAGGAGTGCAACAAAACTGTTTCATAATTATCAAAGATCTTCATTTATCTTTACAAAAAATAATTTTTTTAAAAAAGTTTGATACTATTTTAATTTTCAAAGCATTATGTCTATCAACTAATCAAAGACATTTTACAGTCAATTCAGAGAATAGTTTTCATCACTTAACATATATTTTTAAATACAATGTATATATAGTACACATTTTTTAAATTCATTCATTTATAGTTTAAATGTCCACGATTTGGTCGGCTGACCACAGCTGGATAGGTTTTACAGTTACACACATAGGAAAATGTTACATTTAGTTTGAAAAAACATGTCAAATTGTAATACTTAGGGCCACTTATCTTAATAATCAAACTATAACATAGTAATGCTTCACATAAATAATAAACACCTACAAGATAATAAGAGTACAGTTAAATGCAATCACAAGTACATGTGTATATTAAAGTATTTACTTGGTTGGAAGAAATTGCTTTCACTCTCGATGCAACAGAACCAGAATTTGTCTATTTTGAAATAAATCAGTACAAAAATTTAAACGGATAAAAGAAGTGATTGTTTGCATTAAAAAAATATTAACGCTCCACGCGAGGATCGAACCAAAAAAATTTCAACTCCATTGCACTGGACGGGTTACGCATACTACTGAGTTATCATCAAGACACATACAACCTGGTTTTTAAGACGATAATGAAGCAACGCATTTGCACATCGGATTTTTTTGGGAAAAAGTTCATTTTTATGGTCTCTGGGTCTTCTCTCCATTTTTTACAAATTACGGTTGTTTCTTTGAAGAAGATTGCATACAAATAACTTTTGAAGATTATGGAGAGATGACACAGAGATCACTAATTTTTAGAAAAAAGTGTTTAAGAATGTGACACTTTGAACCAAATGAATCATCTATCGTATTTTCAAGTTATTTTTTAGCAAATCAAAACACAATATCGAGAAAATATTTCCCTTTCATTTTTCACAGGAATCCGATACATCAAAAGAATGCAAAAACTTAATGGGGGCAGAACAAAGAATTTTTCACTTTTCCTGCTAAATGCCAATCAAAAGCGCCCTCGTTCTTTCTTAGATTCATCCAATGTTGTTTTGACTTGCTCAGAACTGCTCATGTCAGTTTGTCTCCTTTTATGTTTTTGATATTCGAAGTCCAAACCAAAAGCACTTCTGGCTTTTGTTGTTTTATGTTTAGGTTCCTTTCTAGAGCACCATGTGGTCTAATTAACATTTCGACTTTTAAAACAAACAGGGAGCATGATCGATACCAACAAATTTACAATTTAGTTTTGAAAAAAATTGACTAAAATATAAAAGAAACCGGGCTGGAGGGGCGGGTGGGGTCACAGGGAGTTATAGTGTAAAATTTCATTGCAAACGCTCAAAAGCCTCTTGAGACATCGCCCAGAAACGAAAGTGTTACACACAGACAGTATGTATGAATTTACGACCTTGATCATTGCCCTTTTGTTTCAAAAATCAATAGGGATCTTTCATGGGCCATAGGGAGTTGTGGCTCAAAATTTCGTTGCAAAAGCTCATAGGCTTCTCGAGACATCGCGCGGAAACGAAAGTGTTACAGACAGACAAAAATACAGACGGACGGATAGACGTACAGACGAACAGACAAACCCAAATTATTATCCCCCACTTTCAGTGAAA